CAGAGGAAGTGACATTCAAGTTGAGAACAGTCTTTAAGTGCTATAATTTTCATAAGAAATTTAAATTGTAAAAACATAAAAGAAGTATTCTCCTATAAAATGGTTAAAAACTACTACATGATATAGAAATTTCAGATTAGAAATCATTTTGGCTATTGGAAAAACACCTAACTTTGATTACTAATGTAGTAATATGTATTTTAAAAGATGTGGAGGGATACTTTGCTGTTCTTAGAAAGGAAGGACTTGGAACTAGTAAAAACTATAATATTTTTCTTCATATGCTTTTAGATTATTTGGCTTACAACAACTGAATGCACTAGTATCAGTTATAAGTTAAAAACACTACTTAGTAGAAAAATTTTGAAATTCACATTGTTTCACTGGCCTGGTATTTTATGCCAAGAATTTACAAATACAGTATTTTTTTAAACACATATAGTGAAAACCAATGAGTTAGGGAGCCCAGGTCTAAAATTAGATTTAAGCAAAATTTCTGCTAGTTGCTTTGAGAAATCCCAGCTCACAAATTTTGCAGTCTCTCATTCCCCGGGAGTCCTGCCAAGGAAAGCTTTGTAAATTGGCCTTTTATATAATTTTTCTGTTCAGATGTAGAAAACATATGACCCTTTGGCATCTTTAATGACTAAACCAAAGTTATGAAATAAAGTAGCAATAAAGACCAATAGATGCAGCTGTGCTTTGATTTTGCACGTTTCATATGAAATCCACTCTCAGGGGCATTTCCCCCATATACTTTTAAACTGTAAAAGCTGGGTAGTTCTCATCTATCGATATCATCCTGCTGTTACATCTCAATATAGGTTTATTAAAATAAAAAAATAAAAAAAAAGAAATTTGGCAAGTTTTTTTTTTTAATGTCAAATTAGTGGTTCTAAAAGCCTGTTGTGTGTGTGTGGTTTTTTTGTTTGTTTGTTTGTTTTTTAAGTGTAATCAACAAGCTTAACTGAATGAGGCTAGGTACAAGTTTCTGATAAAAAAATATGATTTAATCTTTGGGCTACCTTTTGCAAACTGATCTTACAGTTGAAGCACATTATTGTAAAACATCAAATGTGTAGATGGAAAGACTAGGAAAATAAAGTAATTAACAATAAAATGGGTAATAACAGAAAAACCTAGTAAAATATTGACCAAATAATTAACTTTATTTTTGGCTACCCTGGTTAATCAAACACTTTGTGACACACATCACTCTGTACAAAATGACATTGCTTTCACCCTAAACCAGGTTTCTCCAAGCAATGTTTATTATCAGAGGACTGGGAAATGAGTAGAACAATAATATGTACTTTCCCAAATTTCCGGAAGTTCACAAGGAAGGGCTCTTTTCTCAGCTACTCCTTAAATTACTGGCAACTCAATGGAGAAATAAATAATACCTTCAACTTGTTCTTTTATCTCCAATGCTTTATTTGATTTCAAAAATATCTGGTAGAAAGAGAAGAATAAAAAATATTTGTAATAATACTTCTACCATTGGAGAATGTTAGTGAATTAAATAAGTAAATAAAATATGGGAAAATATTCTAGTAATATTCCAAGAACAAAGAAAATTAACTATTCTAGTGCTAGCCAGTTAGACTCATTGGCCCTTGGACTGAAGGGTTCAGATTCGATTCCTGTCAAGGGCACATACCATAGTTGCAGTCTTGATCTCCTGCCCTGGTTGGGGTGCATGTGAAGGCAGCCAATCAATGTGTCTCTCTCACATCAATGTTTTGCTCTCTCTGTCTCTCCCTCTCCCTTCCACTCTTTCTAAAAATCAATGGGAAAATATTGCCAGGTGAGGACTAATGAAAAATCAAACAGACAAAACAAAACAACAACAAAAAAGAAAATGAATTATTCTAAACAACTCAAGATGAAGGAAACCATTATTGAACTATTACTCAAAAAAATGTAAATCCTCTTACTAGGTTAGAAAATACTTTCACCTATAGAGCCCTATTTTATGTCTCTTGATTTTCAGACTTAAATTATAGCATATATATCCAAAGATGAAGCTAATAGTTCTAAACTAAGTAAAAGGTTATGTTACCAATATACTTCTAGCAATATCAATAGATATAGGCTTCATGAAACTGAGGGCACATATTTGCATGATAGCTAACTGGGAGTGGGAATGAGGGGTAGCTGAAGGCAGGGCATAGATGAACCAGACTACACTCATGGTAGGCTCAGCTACTTGGCTAACTTCAGCCACTTCAGTGACTTCCTGTTGCTCAGTAAAAACCTTTTATGATCTTGTTCTTTCCTGAGTTTTAGCTTCTTCTCCTGAATGTCTAAATCATAATTCACATGTTTGTTCCTACTCCAAGCTCTCACTTTCTAAGTCTTAGAAAATGTAATTCTTATTTACCAGGAAAGGGGGACACATTGACTTCACATTAAACTATCCACAAGGCAAAATAATCTCAACCAACAACTTCACCCAATACATTTACCAAAGTTAACCAACAAAATAGGCCTTTTTTGTGTATGTGTTTTAAAAATATATATTTTATTGATTTTTTACAGAGAGGAAGGGAGAGAGATGGAGAGCTAGAAACATAGATGAGAGAGAAACATCTACCAGCTGCCTCTTGCATACCCCCTACTGGGGATGTGCCTGCAACCAAGGTACATGCCCTTGACCAGAATCGAACCCGGGACCTTTCAGTCCACAGACCGACACTCTACCACTGAGCTAAACCGGTTTCGGCCAAAATAGGCCTTTTGAGTTCTATTCCTTTTTTTTTCTTTCATAGTCATGTGTCTCTGAGAATACAGATGAGTAATATACTTCACTGTAAAGATGTTGCATCATAAATAAAACTCATATCTCAAGTTGACTGGCTTCACTTCAAGAATTCAGCTACTTATACCAAGAAAACTTAGTTTGGCAAAGCTGCACTTGTTTTAATCTTCTATATCCTCTAAGTCCATAGTTCACATTAACTCTATTTGTGCTTGAGAAAGTTGGTAATATTTACCAATCCTTGCATTTATATTTGTGGTATAAACATGGCAGTTAAGATAACTAAGATAGAAATGCCATAGAAATGATATTTCCAAAGAAGATTTTCTCTGAATTGCTATGTTGTAAAGCAAACATACAGTTTATTTTTTATTTTACTGGTGTTAACCTTTATTTTTATTAACTGAAGTGCATTAATATACAGAGGGTTGGTTCTATATAAATTAGGGTTCCATGTTGTATTAACAGTAGGAGATTTGAGAATCCTTGTAAGTTATTTTGTGTGTATGTTTATATTTAAACTAGAGGCCCGGCACACGAAATTTGTGCACTGAGCAGGGGAGGCTGGGGCGGGGAGAGGAAAAGTGCGGGGAGGTCCTCAGCCCGGCCTGTGCCCTTTTGCAATCTGGGAGCAATCTGACTGACTGATTAGGCCCACTCCCTGCCTAAGCTGTCAGTTGGACATCTTAGTACTGCTGCAGAGGTGGGAGAGGCTTCCATCACTGCCGCTGTGCTTTCCAGCCATGAGCCAACTTCTGGCTGAGTGGTGCTCCCCCTGTGGAAGCACACTGACCACCAGGGGGAAGCTCCTGCTTTGAGTGGCTGCCCTCTCATGGTCAGTGCGCATCATAGAGACTAGTAGTTCTGCCATTCAGTAGCTTTGCATATTAACCTTTTATTATATAGATTTTTTTGTAAGAATAGAGCCCATAATTGCCATCAATATTCTCAAAGAGGTCAATGAGCACCTGTGCTGCCCACCAAAAAATAATGAAGGGCTATGAGCTTACAGTAATGTTAACATGAACATAGTTTCTGGTGGTTACAAAATAGTCATGGGATGTAAAATACAGTGCAGTTAACACTATTGTGCTAACTATGTGTATGGGTCATTTGGGTACTGGAAATATTGGGGGAAATACTTTGCAGTTAACACTATTGTGTTAACTGCAAAGTATTTCAGTTATATGCAGTTAACACTATTGTGCTAACTATGTGTATGGGTCATTTGGGTACTGGAAAAATTGGGGGAAATACTTTGCAGTTAACACTATTGTGCTAACTATGTGTATGGGTCATTTGGGTACTGGAAATATTGCAGTTAACACTATTGTGCTAACTATGTGTATGGGTCATTTGGGTACTGGAAATATTGGGGGAAATACTTTGTGTAAAGTATATGATTGTCTCATCACTATGTTGTACACTTGAAACTAATACAAATAGTAAATATAAAGTGTAACTGAAAAAAGACATATTGTAAATTTTTTTAAAGTAAAAAGGTAAACATTGCCTCCCAAGTTAAAAGGTGTTAATTTTGTTACTATATTAATAGTGTTTCCTTCTTCTCTTAAACTAGGTTTCTTTTCTCCCAGTGCTATTCCACTCATGGGCTTTTCCAGGTGTTTTCATTATCTTTTTCTTAGTGCTATATATTTTTACATATACCTCTTTGTTAGTTGCAGTTAAGATATTAAATTCCTCATTTTTCACATTTTTGCAACATACCTAACATGTTATAGTTTCTATATTTATAAAACATACTTCCTTACTTCTACAAAACTTTTAAATGATGAGCATGAAGAATTGTATGCCATATATACAAATAGCCAAAATAAAGAATAAATGATATAAACAACCAGGTACAGAAAAAAAGAGGAAAACCTCCCAGGATCAAGGAGGAGATACCCAGCTATTAGTTCTGAGATGTTGGCAGCCAAGGCAAAACAGTAACATGAATAATTACATAGCTCTCCATATTTGATAATAAAAAGCAAACCTATTTTTCAGAACAGAAGAATTTTCTGGCACTAACTTCTATGAAGAATATTTCCCAGGCCTCCTGGACATTGTTAACAGTCCTCTCAAGAACTTTATTAGCCTCTCTTCCCTTCTATCCTTGCCCTTTCTTTCACATTAGTAAACACTTGACTGGGTTGCAAATTATCAACAGTTTTCAGAACACTCTTTCCCACAGGTTCATGGATACCACTAAGATCTTTCACTGATCAACTCGTGTTCATGAGCAAGTCTTCTTGGCCATCCCTCCTTGATAGATGAAGAGATGCTTCACATGGGAATGTGGTCTAGGAAAAATGAGTTTGGGAAATTTTATTAGTCAGAGCATATATTTCATGGGTATCTTTTGCTTATTACTCATCACTAGAGGCCTGGTGCATGAAAATTCATGCATTGGAGGGGGGTGGGGTCCCTCAGCCCAGCCTGCCTCCTCTCACAGTCCATGAGCCCTCAGGGGCAGGAGTTGACCCAGCGATCAGGGGAAGGCGATGTCCCCATCACATCTCTGCTGCTGCCACTGCTGGCAGTTTAAGTCTCAGCTAGCCCTGGTTACTGAGCCTTGGATAGCCCTGGTTGGCTGGGTAGCCACCATCCGAGGCTTGCCTGTGCCTCGGCTGTCCCTGGACTAGCTGGGAGGCTGAAGGCTACACCATGAACCTGCCCCCCCTCCTTGCTCCCCTCCATCCCTCGGGAGGCTGAAAGGACTGGGGGACTCCAGCAGGGCTGAGAGGACTGGGAGCCATTACCTTGTGGCTATGAGTGCTATCATCTTTGTGATGGTCAATTTGCATATTTCCTCTTTATTAGATAGGATGGCACATCCTTTTTTCTAATTAAGAAGTAACAGTCATGCCGAAACCGGTTTGGCTCAGTGGTAGAGCGTCGGCCTGCGGACTGAAAGGTCCCGGGTTCGATTCTGGTCAAGGGCATGTAAGAAGTAACAGTCATATCAACAGTATGCTCTCTGGAGACTTCCTAAAATGTATACCTTCAAAAATATTAAGTAGGAAGAGATTTATTAAACCAGTTAAAGGCCAGTCAGTTGGGAATTGACATTCTGCTATGAATCATATGAAAAATGACTTGCACCTCAATCTAATTAAAGACTATCATGTCTTTACCCAAGAGTAAGTTGGCCAGAAATTTACAATCTCTCATGCTCTTTCATGTGCCTGTTAAATTTAATTCACAAAAGTCATCTCTAGGCCACCCACTCCAAGATACTGATTATACGAGGCAAAATTTCTAAAATGTTACCGCTCCAATGATGCTCTGCCTTAATCCCCTGAGAGTAGAGAGATCCCATTATTATGTTGCCATATGGCACAGTAAATCATAAGACAGGGAGGCCCGTGGCATAGTAAATCATATCTAGGTGGGTCTTGTCTAATAACAGTATTTAAAGCAAAGAACTTCTTAAAAAATGCTTAAAGGTATATTTTTATTTCTCAGAGAGGAAGAGAGAGAAGCATCAACAATGAGAGAGAATTCTTGATTGGTTGCCTCCTACATGCCCCCTACTGGGGATTGAACCCACAATCCAGGCATGTGCCTTCTTTGCCCAGAATCAAACCAGGGATCCTTCAGTCCATAGGCCTATGTTCCATCCACTGAGCCAAACCGGCTAGGGCAAGAACTTTTTCTAACTGGTGGCAGAAGAAATCAGAGAGATGTGAAGGAGGAAAAGGATTCAACGTGCTATGGTATGAAGATGGAGGGGGTCATGTGAGAAGGAAGGCAGGTGGTCATAAGATGCTGAAAGAGGCCCCGGCTGAGAGCCAGCAAAGAAACAGGATCTCATCCCCACAATAACAAGGAACTGAATTCTGCCAATAACAGAAACAAACATGGGAAAGGAACTTGAACACAAAATGAGAATGTTGTCAACCGATTCTTGATTTCTGTCTTGTAAAAACCTGAGCAAAAATTCTAGCCACGTTATCTTAGACTTTCAACCTACAGAAATGTGAGAAACCAAATGGTGGTTGCTTGAAGCTCCTGAAGTTGTGATAATTTCTTACACAGCAATAAAAATGAATGCATTGAGGCTTGCGTCTTTTTTCACTGAAGTCTAACCTCATGCCTGTGGACGCTGCTATAGAGGGTATATTTACGGAACTGAACAAAGAATAAAATAAAGGGATAAAGGGGCTGTGATTATTAAGGGAAATATATGTGGTGCTTACAAATTTGGAATTTATTCTGGGACAAATGAGAAACTCCTAAAACTTCCAATCAACAATGTGCCGAGATTATGTGTGTGCTTTAGAAATATCTCTGGCTGCACTGTGGAGAACTGGTATGGAGAAGAAGTTACTTTGGCAGCACAGTGAATAGATTCTGGTAGAGGAATCTGGGGGCAACAAGAAAGCATTAGAATAAGCTGTTCAATAGAGCAACTTGGACTAATTTAGTTGCAATGAGGATAGAGGCAACTATAATAGATTCAAGGACATTAAAGAGGCAGAATTGGCATGTGGATATAATGACAGGAAGGTTTGTTTCAAACTGAGCCTTCCCCCTACCCTGTCCCCTTCATTCACTTCAACACTCCTCCCACCACTCTGTTCTACAGGAGCCATTTCCAGAGATGAGCTTACTCTAAAGGTGGAAGGGCCAAAGTTCTTATATAGCCAGGTTTAATCCAGTCCGTATGTATGTCACACTTGGTTGGACTGGGGTGGACACTAGATCCAAGTTTTACTAATAAGATTCTGTTTCATAAATTTTGAATTAAGAGAAGCCAATCTTGGTCTCTTTTGATTGGTTGAAACTGAGGAAATGTAAAGTCCAGAATTGTGGGAGAGTCATGTGTGTTGAGAAATAGAGACATTGGACTAAAGAGCAAGGTATAGCCAACATACAGAATATGTGCTGAGAAAAACAAGGACTAACAGGGAGAAAGGGAGAGGAGAGAGAGGGGAGAGAGAGAGAGAGAGAGAGAGAGAGAGAGAGAGAGAGAGAGAGAGAGAGAGAGAGAGAGAAAGAGGAGGAGGAGGAGGGGGAGGAGGAGGAGGAGGAGGAGGAGGAGGAGGAGAAGGAGGAGGAGGAGGAGGAGGAGGAGGAGAAAGAGCAAAAGGAGGAGAAGGAGAAGGAGGAGGAGGAGGAGAAAGAGCAAAAGGAGGAGAAGGAGGAGAAGGAGGAGGAGGAAGAAGAGAGGGAGAAAGAAATAGAGAGGTAACTGTAAGACCAATTAATTTTCTTTCTTTTTTTTCATTTCTTAGTAGTTTTATTTTCCCTGTGAGCCTCTCCGGTGCCCTAGCCCCTCTTCATGTACTCTGGGACAGTCTCTGCCTAGAACTGTAGGTCTAGGATGTCTCAAAGTGACCCCTTTCCCCCACTGTCTTTAGTGTCCTCAGAGGGGTTCTTAGAGGGAGAGGGCTTCCCTGTTTCAAACATCCCTTATGGAGGAAGTAAGAGATCCAAGTTTCCCTTGTCTTTTCAGACAGCTTTGTTTTCTGCTCCGGGGCTGGAGTGGGAGAGGGACCTCGTTGCTTTTTCTCCACCAGTCATTGGGGGGTGCAGGGGTGTCAGAGTCAAAAGCAGTCTTGGGGAATTCTGAAGCCTGAGGACTGGAAAGCCTTAGCACAGATGAGCAGAGTTAGAGAGCCCATTCACTCCTTGTCTGCTGTGTTCTGGGCCGTTTAGTCAAGATCAAAGTGAGATGTGCTGGGTTCAGGGCTCTCAGAGCTTTCTCTCATCCAGCAACTTCTGGAGCCCATTACAGATCTTTCCAAAGTGCTGAGTGAAGTCAAGCCCAGAGTGGGCCGTGAGGAGGCCTGGGCCAGAGAAGTGATAGAACACACAGCAGCTGTGACTGTGTGACTTGGGTGTGAGGTGGTGCTGACCAGCACCAGCAGTGTGTCCCAGCATGGATGAGCAGGCCAGCCAGCACCGCGACCTCGAAAGGGAGGTCCACCTCACCAAAGCTGAGCACAGTCACGGCCTGGCAGCCAGGGCCAGCTCCCTGGGGCCCAGGCACCCACTGCAGTGCAGCACAGCCACCTGACAGCCACCTTGATGAGGTCCTTGATGACCGGCTGGGCCTGAAGCCAGCTTTGTGCTCATTCTTTGGACACATGGTAGAGCTTTAGCATCTCACTGCTTGTCTCCTTTATGAAGAGATGAGCCACAGACCGACCTGCTATCTTACTCGGTAGCTTCTCTGCTTGCAGTGCCAGACTCTTTGAGCTGAAGGACTCCATGGTTCCTACTCTCTGCTCAACCTCTGGTTCTTCATACAGTTACCAAGAAAGTGTGTGGCCTCAGAGCCTCCTGGAAGTATGTCAAAAGGAATAGATTCTTTGAGATGATAAGGAGGGATCACATAGACCCCGTTCTCAAATTGTCTATTTTTTTTTGCTTGTTGCCCAGTTCCTTGAAATCTTATAAAGTACAAATGACTGGGGTGTGGGATCAATGGAGAAAGTTCTGAAGATTGAATGTACTTAAAGCTGGAGATGCCAGAAGCAAGCCAGAGACCAATAGACCTGAGTGTGTCCCTGGAGTCTCCAGGGAAGTCTGTACAGTGGAGCAATGTCACCACAAGCATATGCTTCCAGTGCCTAAGGCCCATTCATTTTCATTTCCTCATTTTAATTCCTGATGAGGTCCTACTGCACTCCCTCCTCTTGGGTTGTATGAGATTCTTATAATACATTCCATATTGGTATAGAAATGAATTTCTGTTATTTGCAACAAAAGGAGGCCTTGCTTGAATCATTTTGATAGTATAGTTGTCATGTTTAATTTTTGGTCATTCAATTCATTCTCCCATGATTCTAGCAATACCACTTCAATCATTTTTCTTTTCTTTTTTTTTTTCTTCTTTTTTTTGTTTTTTTTTTTTTGAGCCACTTGCCTTTATCCTAGCCCATAAAGTTAATCAGGGCCAACCCTAAGCCATAATAATTAGGACAAGAAAGGAAATATGATCCAAACTCCATCAGTAATATTTGCTAGAACTATTGAGAGGTTGTGAGAAGTTGAAGCATCTCCTCCCTCCCCCACCTCCTTGCTACACACACACACACACACACACACACACACACACACACACACACTGAGATTGCTTAACTAGTAAGGATGACAGCCTGGAGCAGCTACTGGTCATCTTGCAACCAGAAACAGAAAACCTTCCTGAGAGTTAAACCAATACAGACAGCAGAACAAAAGGCAGAAAAAACCAAACATACATTCTTCATACATCACTTGATCACCAAGATCCCTGTTTCTAAAGCTCTTCAATTAATTAATTCACCAATAAAAGTCCTTTTTTAAAAAGCTA